GGCGACTGACCTGCCCCGGGAATAGGGAGAAGAGCTGTGTGCTGCTGAGATCGAGCGGAACGCGTTTTCCAAGCGAGTTGGCCAAGCAGCCCTGCACCCGACCGAGCAGTTCCACACGATGCAGGCCACAGCAGTGTCAATTGCTTGCAAGCACGAAGGTTTGCACAAGACACGTGTGATGCGCACGTGTGTGATGTGGACGCAGCCCAGCACAACACCGATGACAAACAAACAACAAGAACAAGAACAACAAGAACAAGAACAAGAACAAGAACAACAACAACAACAACAATAACAACCACTGCGATGCGATATGGGGGCTGACCTCGAGGACAACGGAGCGGCTGTTGAGCCGGCCCTCCGCTGCATCCACACACACGCGCCCGACAACAAGCACCGGCGACTGCACACAGCGGGGTGGGGCGAATTGGTGAGTTAGGCGTGAGACAAGGAGAGAGTGTTTGTGTGAGTGCGATAGTGAGTGAGCAAGTTAGTGAGTGAGATAGTGAGTGGGTGAGCAAGTGAGTGGGAGATAGAGAGATAGAGAAAAAGTGTTTATATACATCTTTGTATGTGTGTATGTGTGTGTGTGTGCGACAGACAGACGGACGGAGACAGACAGCAACGCCCATGGTGCGTCTCTCGCCGTCAAGCCATGTGAGCAAACGGCGCCTCAACCTGTGATGGAAAGTCGACGCTGTTGAGCTGCTCCAGCACCTGCCGTGGTGTCAGCTCCTGCTGCTCTTCATCCCCACCTTCGTCCTCTGCGCAGTTGCGGCACATGTGTGCACACGTATGCGTGTGTGGATGCGTGTGTGTATGCGTGGGCTCGTTTGTGAGTTGGGAGAAGTGAGTGCTGGCAGTGGGCCGCACGCCCCCTCGCGCAACGTTGAGGACTATGCAACAGCAGCACATTTATGGTACAAAGAATAGGCACGAAACACGACACGTGTATTCACCATGAGTTCCCCACCTTCTGACTTCTTGAGCGCAATGGACTGCAATTTGTGTTTTCGGATGATCAACTCCGCCATATCCTCAATCCGCACATCCAGCACTGCACACACACACACATGGACACAGGTAAGCGTGGGCAGAGCGCAAGCGGTCGAGGGTATGAGCAGAGGTGCACGCATGTACGTGCAAAAGCAACAACACCCACATACACATACACACGCAACAGGCACACGCACGCGCCATGGCGTCGAGAGCCAATCACATCGTGATATCATTTCCCCTTTTTGCTGAACTCGCATTGTTGCTGCGCTCGTACCTTCTGCTCTGTCATGCAGCTTTTCAAACATGAAGCGGTATGTCTTCTCCAGCGTGCTTGGAAACACTGGCATTATGGAAGCAGACGCAAGGCAATGCGCATAAACACATACACAGACGCACGTGCGAGCGAGTATGCAAGAATAAGAGCAACGAGATCAAGAATGAGAGCAACGAGATCAAGAATAACAACAACAACAACAACAACAACAACAACAACAACAACAACAACAACAACAACAACAACAACAACAGCAACAACAACAGGAGCAACGAGATCAAGAATAACAGTACCTGACACGTGCACGTTCTGGCGTGGGCCATCGCTGGCAACTTCAACGGGCCGCTGTGAACGCGGGGCGCATTGTTGTTGTACAGATGTGAGTATACGCGCGAATATATGCGAACATCGCAAGTGCAAGTTGCATGTCCGCAAGACCGAAGCACTGTTCGATGATGCACTGTTCCACGAAACACACAAACGTGAAAGTACACACGTACACACGAGCACACGAGCGCATGAGAACACCCACCCACACACACGCCCTCTGTCGTGTCACCTGTCCTGGGTTGAAGGTCAGCTCGACGTGCCCGGCGTTTGTGCGCGTTGCTGGTCAGCCGCAATCATCGCATCAACCACACGACCAAGGAAACAACAATGGGTCAGCCTCCCAAACAACTCACTGTGTTGCGTACCGCAATCATCCAAACACAGTTCAAGTTCCTGGCGCAGTCGGGTGGGTGCAGCCCTCTCCCACAGCCATCCCCAAATGACTCCAGTGACCCCAATGACACCAATTACACCACATGCACGCACCGTAGTTGGCGGATGCTCGAGGTGACTCTGCAGGAAGGCTGGATGCTTGCTGGCTGGTTGGAGTGCCCGGGGTGTTGGGCGTGCTTCGTGCACCACCCACCGACCGCTGTTATGGCACGAATGCGCACGCAGCGAGTAATATGGCAGGGTTGGTGGAACTAAATGAGCTTGTCAATGTTGCGCATGCGTGAGCAGCAAATGTACACAAAGCAGCATGGCAATCACACCCACGACACCTGCAACACGCACCCGCACACACACACACACAATGCATACGACGCATTCGATCGATGGCGGTGAACACAGCCCGCACACGACATGCATACCTTGACTGCTTGCGGGGAAGCGAAACTCATGCGCTTGCGTGATGACTGACCAAAAGCACAACACCAAGAGAGCAGGGATATCAAGTTGGTGAACACATCAGTGAGTTTGAACTGTTTGTTGCAAGCAAGGCGGCGTCAACGCAACACACACACACACACACACACACACACACACACACACACACACACGCACACACACAACACAGTACAACACAACACATACGTACACACACACGTACACTTCAACTCGCCCCACCACGTGCAAGACAGCCGCACCTGCTTGGGCTTCTGCGCGCTGGTCTTGATGGCCTCAGCCACATCTCCAGAGAGCCCAAACGAGCTGACAAGCGCATTGGCCAGCCTGCACAGGTACAAGAGTAGCAACCATGCGCCCGTGTGCCCCACCATCCACGGGGGTGCGTGAGTTTGTGTACAACAGTGGTTGTGGGGTGTAGTTGCGCACATCTTGTTGGCATCACTGCATTGCTGCTTGCACACAACACACACACACACACACACACACACAACACACACACATACATACACACACCCGGAGCCAATGGTTGACTTGTCGTAGTGCACGGTGGGTCGTTGCGGCGTGACTTTCTGAGACATGGTCTTGGACATCTGCGTGCAGTCATGTGCGTGCGTGCGTGTGTGCGTGCGTGGAGTTGGGGCGGTTGGTGAGAATTGGAGTGGGGATCGAGATGGGAGGCTAGTGCAGCATTTGGCAAAGCAGCACTCACGTCCTGCGCGAGCTGCTCCAGGGCGCTTTGTGTGGGCTTATCGCCGAGTTGCTTGGACATGAAGAATGCGTTCCACTTTACAGCCAAGTCCAGTGGCTCAAGTCCAAAGCGGTGACACAAATCGGCACCTATCAGTGCGTGCGTGCGCATGTGTATGTGCATGTGTGCACGTGTGCGTGCGCATGTGCGTGCATGTGCGTGAGACAAGGCGTGCATGACAAGGCGCTGTGCGGCTTGCGTTTGCCAGCATCGCGAGTCGTTCTCATCGGTCGCCAAACACAAACGATGCCAAAACGAGTATTGCCTTGACTTGCGGCTGTGCTTTTGTGCGTACATTGTCCTATGACTGCGTCATCGTCCAAGGTGATGCCTAGCTCGCCAAACTGCTCCTTGATCGCCGTCTCCATCGTGTGTGTGGTGGTGTGTGTATGGTGTGTGTATGGTGTGTGTGGTTGGTGTCCTTCCTGTGTTCTCTTCTGCCTGTGTGCGGTGTTCTGTGACGGTGACCTGAACCCTGCACTGCCTTCGCTCTCTGACTGTTCTCGCGCTCGTTTTGTGCTTTGAGCTTTTGGCGCCAAAACGCTTCTTGTTGGTGCTTGCTTGGCGAAAACGTGTGAAAACGTGTTTACCACAAGCACTGCAGAGCGGATATGATGAAGAAGATGAAGATGATGAAGATGGCGGGAAACGAGGACGAAGCAGACGACAAGCAGCAACAGACCTGCGGCGACAAAGGGGCAGCAAAGGCAGCAGACGCGACGATGCATGTGATGACGGCGGAGGAGTATGAGCGATACGTCAAGGCAAATCCACCCGCAAAAGACAGTCACGGCAGCAGCAGCAGCAGTCACGGTAACAGTTGCAGTGGATACGATGTGAAGAGGAAGACTGTGAAAACAAGCAAGGGAGAGGAGACCATCGTCTACTGGACAGCTGCCACTGCAAGTGAGAAGGGCAGTGGGTCATCTTCGTCTCCTCAATCACAAGAACCAGCGAGCTCCGGCTCGTCATCGTCAGGCACTCCAACAACAAGCTCAGCGCCCACACACTCCGCATCGTTGTCATCATCATCATCATCATCATCAGCAGGAGCAGCATCAACAACAACAGCAACAACAACAACGACGACCAGCACGACCACACCGGCAGAGCCGAGCACGCCCGCCAAGCAAACAGGCTTGAGCCAGCCGAGCACTCCAGCATCCTCAATAGGGCCGCGGTCAGTTCGCCGGCGGGGCGGCGGCCTGCTTTCCCGCCCAGCGTCGTCCATGCTGCGCAAGCGCCCCAAGATGGAGACAGAGGAGCTGCGCAAGCTCAAGAAACAGCGGGACGCGCTCAAGGAGAAGCTGCGCAAGCTGGAGCTGGTGCGCACGTACCGCAGCAAGCACGACACGGCAGACTTGGATGAGCTGATTCCAAAGTGGCGCGGCGTGTGCCAGCAAGCATTACAGGACCTTGCTGATTCCAAACCAGATGTAACGGTCAAACAGCTCATCACCCACTTCAACATCCCGCCCAAACTCCTCAAGTTTGACATGGAGGACGAAGAGTTTATCGACTGACCTGTGTGTGTGTGTGTGTGTGTGTGTGTGTGTGTGTGTGTGTGTGTGTGTGTGTGTGTTGTGTTGTGTGTCAGCGATTGCTGCATTTGCCGTTGTGATTTGTCAGTACTACGCTTATCCTTAAATACTCTGCTTCCTTCTCTGCACCTTGCTTCTTCTCTGCGCTTGCCCACGCTTCCGTGCTCAGGCAGTAAACGATCACGCTTTGCACTACGTAACAGAGCTTCTATTGCTGAACACACTTGCTCTCGTGTTCGTTTGCACAACAGACACAACAGTAGGGGGCCAAACACAACACAAAACACACCACCAAGTTACATGAAGAAGCTACTCGCAAACGCACACACACACACACACATATACACACGAAAGAAGGCGAGCCAAAACACAGCAAGAGTGTAGGGAGTGAGTCGAGCTCATGCGCTGGAAGCGTCGTTGTTCGCGTCCACTTTGCTCAGCTGTGAAAGACAAAACCAAACAGCACCGAAATGGAAACAGGTACAACAAGGTGATGTGAGTCAACGCACCGCAATCTCTTGGTGGTCCGCACACGCATTGCATCGCTATCCAACCCCCAATGCGCGCGCGCACACACACACACACACACATGCGTGACAGCGTGCAGGGGTAGAACTTACGCCTCTGTCAGCTGTCTACTGACCTCTTGCGAGACGAACGTGGCCAGGCCGACGGTGCTCTCCAGCAGCCGCTGCGTCTCCCGCAGTTTGTGCAGCTTCCGGTCAAGCGCAATCCGCGACTGTTGCCGCTGTTCATGCGCCCACACACACACACACACACACACACACACACACACACACACACACACACACACACACACACACACACACACACACACACACGAGTTGCATGCGGTGGATGACATGAGTGGGCAAGAGGAGGAAGAGAAGGAGCAAGGAGATGAGATGACATGACATGTGCGTATCGTCTATTGTGTTGTGCTGGCGGTGTTGGAGCAAACACAACATGATGGCTGCTCAAGTGGTTTCATGCTTGCCACCAACCTTGGCATCCTTCTTGATTCCGCAGACTGTGCAGAGCCGGTCGAATTCAGCCTGCAGAGACAACGACAACGACGATGGAAGGAACAATGATGGGAACATGGGTGAGTGGATGAGCACGCATCATCTGCATCGGTGGCATGCACGCGCAGCGACAACCTCACACACACACACACACACATGAACAGGGCCATGATCAAACACAAGCGCAAGACCTTTCACCGAACATTGCACCCAAATGGCTCCACACACACACATACACACACACACACACACACACACACACACACACACACACACACACACACACACACACACACACCCCACCACCACCACCACCACCACCACCACCACTGCCAAGTGCATGTGCGACTCACGGGCGGGACGGCCGTGCTGAGCATGCCCTCAACCTCAATCAGCTCACGTCGCAGCGTGCCTTCGTGCAGAAACACCGTTCTCGTGCCTGCGCGTGTCGAATATTGCATGCAGGGAGGTGAGGATGCGAGCAGAGCACGGAGAAAAAGTGGCGAAAGTGACGGGTAGCAGAAGGGAGTGCAGCACTTCGGAGAGATGCGCCACCACGCGTGTCACACCAAAGAGCGCAAATGCACGACAGCAATCCATCACCCCGACTGCCACCCGATCACGCACAGTCGCAGAGGGTGCGCAGGGCGGTGGCGGCCTGGCGAAGGTGACGCGTCGGTGACTCGAGCGTCACATATGCCATCGTGTGCTCACGCACATCCTTTAGCTGTGTGTGTGTGTGTGTGTGTGTGTATCCAAGGAAACAAGAGGGGATGGCAGCGGCGTGTGAGAAGCACACCGTAAGACGACAGGGGTGCGGATGGGAAGGGAGCATACACCAGCCTCACAACCACACCAGCAGGCAAGCACGGATAAACCACACACACATATGAACACAAATGAACTGACACATACACATGAAAATACACATCGCATGCATACACACCCCTGCACGCCAGTGGCGCACCTGCGAGGTGATGGTGACGTTGTCTTGTGTGCAGAGCGTGACGAGTTCACGCAGGAGGCGGTCCATGGGCACGGCAGCGTCAAGGTGCACAGCGACCTTCAGCTTCTCAAGGGCCTTCAGCACGCGCTCGCGAAGAAACTCCACGTCCTTGATGGGGGCGTTGGCAAAGGCGGCGTCGAGTTCCGGAATGCGGATGCGCGAGTCCTTGAAGGACAGGGTGTCCAGATCGCTCTGTGGGCGCACGTATGCACTCGTGCGGCGCGCAAGGCTCAGGCCTGGCCAAAAGCGCAACGCCAGAGAGAGAGAGAGCGAAATCAAGGGAGGTGAGGGGTGTGGAGGGAGGGAGGGAGTGAGGCAGGGAGGGAGTGAGTGTGTTGAGCAAGTGATCAAGCAGTGTATGAGTGCGTGTGTGTTTGATTCGAAAAGCGCCGGCTGCACGCCAAGGTCTAAGAGTGTGTGCAATACCAGAGTCGCTGAAGCTGATGTGCACGAAGATGGATCCTTGCTCGAGCGGCGTTTGGTTGCGGGAGAACAGGTGGATGTGCCGGAAGCCTGCATTATGCAAGTAAGCGCGCGTGTGGGTTGCAATGAGATGGATGAAGGAGGGAGGAGGAGTACAACTGGTCACCATGGCCACACACACACACACACACACACAAAAAAAAAAAAAAAAAAACACAGCGCGACGCACCCGGGCGCAGGCTCTGCACAGGGATGGCGGATTGCGCAACAAAGTCGTCGCCTGAGATGAAGTCGCTGTCGTAGACTTCAAAGTACACGAGCGACACCTCTGTGATGCAGTTGGTGCAGTTGGTGTGTTGAAGCAGGGTGGGGACAAGGGTTACGTGATGAAGGGTTGGCTCAACATGCAGGTGGTTGCACACAGGTATGGCAGAAGAAGAGCATCAGTGCATGCATATACAACGACACTCGCTATCGCACCCACACCCACAACCTGAACACACACACACACACACACACACATTAGCGCTGCTGACCTGGGAAGGCAACATCAAACTCCATGACGTCGCGATCGGACCAGCGCGGGTTGAAGCCGTTGTTCTGCACAACAGAGGACTTGGACTGCAGTGTGGTCATGTGTGTTGTGTTGTGTGTGTGTGTGCGTGTGCGTGTGCGTTTGATGCGGTTTGTGTTAGAACAGCGAGGCAATGGTGGACAGAGGTCGAATGTGTCAAAAATCACGCAAACAAACAAAACAAAGCAAAGCAAACGAAAGAACCTTCCACAGACCTGCTTGTTGTCGCCCCGAAGCCCAAAGATGGTGACACGGACGTACGGGTCAATGATCTCACCACGCACATAGTCGTGACTTTCCCGCTGCAGGGCACGCAAACACCGCAGTTCACAGCACGTGTACACGTGAGTCAGCTGTGCCGCATATGCAAAGCAAACACATGGATACAAGCGAGAGCACTGAAACTCGAACGACGAGCAGGGCTGGAGACGAGCGTTCCTGCATAAATTGCACGCAGCACTCCTCACACAACCCCTCAAATGCCACACAGCTTGCGTAGTGTGTGTGTGCGTGCGCGTGCGTGTGTAAGTGTGGGTGTGTGTGATGTGTGTGATGTGTTGGCAAGATAGCAAGCCTACCGCAGCCTTTGGGAGGTGCTGGCCAGAGAGGACGCGGATGGTGATGGTGCGCGACTGCTCGATAGGAATGGTGGACGGAACAGCCGGATTGAAAGTCGCGGAAGGGTCACGCAGCTCCCGCGGTTTCAGAATGTACCCGCAACCGCCATTGTCCGCAAACTTGCCCTGAAACACGGCACGCAACCAGCACACGTGAGAGCCATTGTGCAGCAAGGCGTCGAAATGCAGCAGCCGCATGGAATTCCGATGACACCCACCCCTCTGCACCCACACACACCCACACACCCACACATATTCACACACACACACACACACTCTCACCTGGTTGAGGTGCATCTCCGAGCAGGGGGTCTGGTAGTTGAGGGCGACGAGCTGGCAGCCGGCGTTCCACATCTCCTGCGGCGGATAGTTGCTCGAGTCGATGCGGAAGCCAGAGGGGTACACACCTGCACCGCAAGCACACACGCATGGCGCGAAGGAGCAGCGGTGGCCATGGTGGATGACAGCACGTGTGAGCGTTGCTGGGACGTTTTGCCCCACAAGCACACACGGGGGCACAGATACATCACGAGAGCAAACATAACAAGAGAGCAATAATTGTACACAGCCACACACACACACACACACACACACACACGCACGCACGCACGCACACACACCCACCCACCCACACACACGCACACACCCACCCACACGCACACCCACACACCATCAGCTACAGAGGCAATGGAGACACACGTGCGAGCTGGCGGATGTTGCGCTTGACGAATTTGTCGGCGGTGAGAATGTCGTTGACAAGTTTGTGCGCTTTCGCTTCCCCAAAGGAGGACATGGTATTGCCGGCAGCAGCATCCAGATTGTCCAGACTCGACGCTGCATGGTGTCATGATGGGTGAAGGTGGCGGTGCACGTTTGTGTGAGTGCGTGTGTGTGTGTGTGTGTGTGTGTGTGTGTGTGTGTGTGGGTGGGTGCTGTTTTCGGGCGCGTACAGCTGTCGCAAAGGCTGTGTTGACAGCAAACAAGTTCCAAGCAGACAAAAGTGGAGGTGATCTTGATTGGCGGTCCGTGCATGTAGGCAGGCGTGTTGCTCACGGTTGAAGTGGACGGATTTGAGCGAGACAATGTCTGAGAATTCGCGGGCAAGCTTCATCTTCTTCTTCTTGCTCGATTGCTCCTGGAAGTCGCGCAATGAACGTGAACAATAACCATGGTGTGATGTTCCACGCGACCAAAAACAAAGCGTGTGATGTTGTATACACATGGACGAGTGAGAACAAGTGATGACAAAATGAACGAAGCATAAACAAACGCGCCTGGCTTCTCTTTCCATGCACAGACAAATGAATGTGTGTGTATGTGTATGTGCGTGTGGGTGTGTTTGTCTGTGCGTGTGTGTTGTGTGCACGCACCGCCTTTGCCTTGAGCTGCTGCTTGACATCCTTTGGCTGCTTGCGGAAAACCTTCTTCTTCTGCAGTGTGGAGTCAGACAGCGCTAGCACACCAACGTAGCAGCAGGAACAGAGGGAGAGGGTATCGATGAGGGAATTATGTGATGGAAGAGCAGCAAGAACAAGGCACTCCATGATAACCATCGTGTGTGCGTGTGTTTGTGTATGTGGACGCGTGTATGTGTGCGCGTGCGTGTGTTGATAGTTATGTTGCGTGCAAGCATAGATGCATGTGAGCGCAGCAGCAGCCTTCGTACCTTCAGACGACTCGTCTTCGTCAGAGACGGCGTCGTCGTCCGCATCTGGTGGAAGTTTCTTCCCCTGCAGTCGTCGCACCAATTAAGCAGCAACATCAGCATCACGAGGGGCCATGACAGGTACTAACGCGCGATCAAGCCATCCTACAACACCACTGCAAATGTCACATGCATGTGCGCGCGTGCGTGTGTGTGCGTATGTGTGTGCGTGCGTGTGTTTCTGGATGTGAACAGACCTTGACAATGACTTTTCGCTTGAGGGCCTCTGGGGACGGCAGCTCACGGCAGCCGTCGGGAACAACGACAAGCGCATCGCCAAAGATCTCCTTGATGTCACGCGCCATGATCTGAGTTTGGAGCATATGCATGTTGGTTGGGGGGAGGCAATGGTCAGTGTTGGTTAGAGGACAAGGCGAAAGGAGACAGAGATGGTGAGTGAGAGAGCGAGTGAGTGAGCAATGCAGATGCACGGCGGATATAAAGCGCAGTTGGGGACTGGGCAACACGCGCACATAACGAAATACACACACGCACACGCGCACATGGTCACCCCTTGAGGTGTACATGCACAGTAACAAGTCCACGCATCGCACCTTCTGCTGCTCGATGCTGAGGTGGTTCTCGATGGAGAGGATGAGTGGAAAATCACTGGCGTGGAAGGCGTATTCGTGGCACGCCTTGAGCGCATCCCGCAGCGAAATCTGTACACACACACACACACACACACACACACACACACACACACACACACACACACACACACACAATAAACCCACACAAGAAGAACACACGCACAATCAACACACACACACAATACGATAAGCACGTACACAAATGCATACGTTTTCGTCATGTGAATGGATGTATACATGCGATGCATTGGTGGTGTTCATTGGCGTTGCGCAGAGCTTCGCCAGCCAACGCTGCCAACAAAAGCAACACGGTGCGCGCACCTTGCTGGTAAGGGTGTGTCCGTGGTAAACAATGGGCTCCATGTTCCACTCGTCGTCGCCGTCCCACACATCCAGCTCCTGTCCGTCAAGCAGCGAAAAGCAAAGACACAGCAACCGCGAGAGGGGGGGGTGAGACACAGCCTGGTTCAGCGCATGACGAAGAAAAGGGACACAAGCAAAGCGCAAAACGACGCTAGCACCACACAGCAGCAGCAATAGCAGCAACATGAGATGCACATAGCGACAAAACACCCACAGCAGCAACGCACCACACATCTGCAGCCGGCAATGAGGGCGCGCTTGTACGCCTCGACATCTGAGGGCCCACGGATCTGGTCGTCGGTCAAGTAGGTGTTGTGCGACGACGCAACGTAGTACTCGCTCAGGGGGCGTGTCATGTCCTATCGCAGCCATGGACAGCGTCGTCGGTAGCGGTGGTGGTGGTGGAAGCATTGGTTATGTTGCCGTCAAGGGTGGGGGGAGGGATTGGGCAGGCATACAAGTGAATCAACGTGCTTTCACAAGCAAGCACACTCAGAGCGGCATTTACACACACACACGCACAAGAACTCAATCGCACCCATCACCACACACACATCCACACGCATCTACACGTCCATACATTCACACTCAATCACACACATCACCACGACAGACCTGGTAGACGCGTTCCTGGTGGTCTGGGTTGTACGCGTTGCCGTAACGGGTGAGCAGCAGGCGTGTGAGCCCGTCCACACCGAGCAGGCCATCCTGCCGGGCCGGCTCGTGCTCTTGGATCAGCTCTGCGCACTTGCCCTCAGGGACATCCTCCATCTGCTCGACCTTGAAAAAGTGCGAGAGCTGGGCCGCGGTCATGGTCACGTCGTCGTACGTGTCGAGTCGTGAGGAGGATGTGCCTTTGTGCGACCGGTCCAGCTTGGCTGATTGGCACCGCAGCAAGCAGTGGGTTGGTTGGATAGGAGAGTAAGAGGAGGAGAGAAGGTGATGAGATCATGTCGACGTGTGTGCGCGTGTGCGCGTGTGCATATGCGCGTGCGTGTACGTGTTGGGGTACATGCTGTAACAGTAGCCAATGCATCGCAAGCTCACGCGCCAAACGTGTGCACCGCGCACACACAACACAACACGCCGCGCACACCACACCACAGCGTGACACGGAAACTCACAGCTGCCGTATTGGAGCATAATCTCGCCAACTTCCGGCCGTGTCATGAGCAGCTTGTAGAACTTTGCAAACTCCTCATAATCGAGCTTGCCGTACCCCGCGGTCCCGCGACGGTCCGTGTCAGCCTGGTGGTGCCAGCCATCATGGTAACGATGAGGAATTGGCGGGACGGTGGGTAAAATGTCAGCGTGGGTGCATGTGTGTGCGTTCATGTATGATTGAGATTGCGATGCCAAAGGTGCGTGCGTCCTTGCGTGCACGTGTGTGTGTGCGGGTGTGTGTGTGTGTGTGTGCGGGTGTGTGTCTGTGTGTGTGTGCGTGTGTGTGCAACGACACGTACTGCAAAGAAGCGGGTGGAGATGGTCTTGGATGGGAGATAGACGTTGAGGCGCTTCAGCAGTGTCTTGATCTCGCTCTGACATTTGAACAAGCCACGCATGATTGGATGGAGTTGGTGAATTGGACAACGCGAGTGCACATGAGCATCAAATCAAGCGCAAACATGGGCACACGGCACAACATCGCATGGGTAAACGCGAGAAGCGTCCACACGCACACACGCACACACGCACACACATACACACAGACAACAACAACAACAACAACAACAACAACAACAACAACAACAACAACAACAACAACAACAACAACAACAACAACAACAACAACAACAACACGAACTGACGAGTGAAAGCTGCTTGTCGTTGTTGGCATCGGCCTGCTCAAACAAGTCGCGAAGCCAGCGCGTGCGCTCTGAGTGCTCGTCATGTTCAACATCGTTCAGCGCATATTGCCTGCAAGGAAGCCATGAGTGCATGCAAGCAACACGACCAAGTAGTCAAGGAGAAGGATCAGTGGATGAGGTTGAGAGCGGGCACATGCGTGCAGAAATGTGGTCAGCACGAAAAGAAGGGGGCAGACAGGAGCAAAATCAGGGGCCAAAGATGCATTGTGACACATGTGTACACAAGCGGGTGACGCACTGGTTCTTGTGGGCAAAGTATTCGCAGGCCAGGATCCACGCGTCGTAGTCAGCCTTGGAGTGTGCCACAAGGTCGAGCGTCTCAAAGGTCTACAGCGCGCACATACAGCGTGAGCAAGCATACTTCGTGTGGGGACAGCAGCAGCGGCAAGGTGTGAGTGTCGTCACACACGTACACAGACACACTTGTCCACGTGTGCACCCGTGGGTTTGTGCTGCAGAGGCAATGTTGTTGGTGTTGGTGTACCTCTGAGAAGATGATGGAGAAACAGTACTGTTCCCGGGGACCGCCAAGCACAGACTGCCGCTTTTCGTTAGCCTGCGAGTAGCTGCGCTCAAAGGAGTGCGTCTTGCGCCCGCGGCTATCAAGGTGGCGGAAGAGTGGTGGGCGTGGTGAATGTGAGGAGACTGAGCAGAAAGGGCGGCGCAACAGCAGATGCAGATGTGTGCAAATATCTTGCAGAAAGACACACACAGCACTGCATCTATCAACCCATGCACCATCACCCGTGAACAACTTCACACATACACACAACACACACACACACACAAAGGCACAGACACAGACACAGACACAGACACAGACACAGACACAGACACAACACACACACACACACAACGCACAGACACAGGACACAGACACAGACACAGACACAGACACA